CTCAGCTAGGGCATTGAAAATGGGTCGTGGATGGGTATTCCAGGATGACAATGACCCAAAACACACGGCCAAGGCAACAAAGGAGTGGCTCAAGAAGAAGCACATTAAGGTCCTGGAGTGGCGTAGACAGTCTGCAGACCTTAATCCCATAGAAAATCTGTGGAGGGAGCTGAAGGTTCGAGTTGCCAAACGTCAGCCTCGAAACCTTAATGACTTGGAGAAGATCTGCAAAGAGGAGTGAGACAAAATCCCTCCTGAGATGTGTGCAAACCTGGTGGCCAACTACAAGAAACGTCTGACCTCTGTGATTTCCAACAAGGGTTTTGCCACCAAGTACTGAGTCATGTTTTGCAGAGGGGTCAAATGCTTATTTCCCTCATTAAAATACAAATCAATTCATAACATTTTTGACATGCGTTTTTCTGGATTTTTTTGTTGTTATTCTGTCTCTCACTGTTCAAATAAACCTACCATTAAAATTATAGACTGATCATTTCTTTGTCAGTTGGCAAACATACAAAATCAGCAGGGTATAAAATACTTGTTTCCCTCACTGTAGAAAGCTCAGTGGGCCTTACCTGGTAAAATAAAAAAAATAGTTTCGTTTTTAGTTTGTTTTTTTAAAGCACCCCTGCCAATGTTATACTACACGACCATGGACACCATGCTAAGTTAAAGTATTGCAGCTAACCACCCAGAGGGCAACAGAATATTTGCAAAAACAAGCCTCAAAAGAGGCCTTGATGTCCAATCCTATAGTGCCTGATGAAGGTCTCTGAGCAAGACCATGTAGCCACTTTTAAAGATTTCTGGAATGCATACTCAGGCCATTATCACCCAAGAAGTTGAAACAGTCTGGTAGGATGTACCCGAAAGGAGGCAAAAACTGGTCTATTCTGAATATCGTCACAGAAATGTATGCACATGTGAATTCATGAGGTAATATGAGTCTTTGAAGCAACAGAGCATCAACATGCAATCATCCTCTCCAAGTAATACTTTAGAGTCCTAAAAATGCCTGCTATCATCCAACATCTGTGTTTTTCTGCACAGAGGGGTTAGGGCACAATAACGCTGGACTGTATTCTCTTTGAGCACTCTATAATAATGCAACTTGAGACGCAGTAATGCTACAGGGGTATGTAAACCAGTTATTTGTAGGTTGCTGAAGGAGATTTCTCCTTAAAGGAACCTTGCTGCCCATTCCCTGGTGCTGGGTGCCCTTTTTCAATTCTCTTTTTGAACCCGTGGCCTCGGCAGATCTTAAAAGCATGACTTGGTGGCCCTATTTGTAGTCATTATTTCTGTTAGAAGGGTGGCACAACTGCAGACATTGCTTCACTCATTTAATCTTACAGAAGTAGTCATATTATGAAATATTAAGGAAATACTCCCATAACTTCTATCGAAGGCTGGAATAGTGGCCAACTTGGACATGATTCCGGTGCCTGCTAGACCTTTATGGATCTCCTCCCCCAGGCACTCCAGTACCTGGAGCACAGAACACTTTTGAGTGTATTTTTTCTTTCACACAAAAAGATATGAACACCCCGAGTAATGGTTTCAGGTCTGTGTGCCAACAGCAAACACTCCCAAAATCAAAGAGAGATGCCTTGGAACTTGAAGCGCTTTAAATCAACCACCACACAACTAGCTTGAACAAGGCTATGTCAGTACTACTGCCTAGGTATCGTGGTTGTGCTTTATAGCCCTCATGTGTTTTCAGGTTGGACTGCGTATTGTCTCTGCATGGTGTCTGACATTTCGGTCCACGTGCTGGGAGCTTCTTCAGCAACTGAATTTACCAGCTTACTTTCTCCCTTGATTATAAGACAGTCCTCAACTTACGAACACACGCACTTACGAACCAGCTTCCATGCAATATATATTTTTTACATTGACATAAAACGCTCCCCTATGTGTGTGTGGGGAGTGGTAGTGTAGCGGGTAGCGCACTGCACTGCCATCCCGGCAACCGAGTTCTATTCCCACTCACGACCAACACCAGTGACAATTATCTGAATAGGTCCTGGGCCTACCCGAGGTCCACTCAGCCTCAAATGAGTACCTAATTCGGTGTGTAAACATCACCACTGGGGAGTCAAAAGTAGCCAGACGTGGTGCTGACCACTCACCTCCCATGTGTGCCGTGCCTGCCTCCAGAGGCAATGCTCGCTAACAGCACTTGTTCCAACAGTCTGTTACGGCTATACGGGGGATTGTTGTCGTTGGTGTGTCTTTGTGCGTGCGCGCATGCCCCGTGTGTGTGTGTGTTGACTTCGACAAGCAAGCCAGCAGCAGGACTCAAGGTAAGTGAAAATAAAACCGATTGCTTTCTATTTCTGTTACTTTATTTTCCTGTTTTACTTACTATAAATTATTTATTACATGCAGATGTAGCCATATTTCTTCATATTTATGAGTTTAACAATGCTTCCCTTTTTTCTTGAACAAAAACACATTTCATAACACTGACCATGTGGGCATTTAAATACAATAAATTATTGTGTTCCGACTTACGAACCGTTCAACTTACGAACGGGTCTCAGGAACGAAAAATATTCTTAGGTCGAAGACTGCCCTTATAACATTGCTGGCTGTGTTGCCGATTTTTGACTGATTGGGCTTAGTTCTCTTGTTTTTTCTTACTTAATCTTGGGTGAAGCTGGAGTTACCCGGAGAAAACTCGCCACGCATGTATATCTGGGGGTAGCATTCTCTAAAATTCCACTGAACAGTTGGATTCATGAGCCAAATTGCTGTTCTGCCGTATCCTGGCCACCACCTTCTAGTGTGATGTCTACATAAGATAATCTGTCTTGGGAGTGGAGATCCTCCCTCAGGGGAAGACCCAAAGGGTTATCAAATGCCAGTTCCACCACTTCAATAAAGAGGTATCTTCGGCACAGGTAAGGGACCACCAGAATTACATCCACTCCATTCTTTCTGACATTGTAAAGGGCTTTGGCAATCACCGTGGATGATGAGAGAACATGAAGCAAACCTTCCATTTGGTGCATTAGAAAGGTGTCCGATGCCACACAAGATACGAGTAAAACTGTACAACTCGTTGGTTCTTTCGGTGACTTTACCGAAAAAACCAAAGAGTAATTCCTGCAGTCACGAAAGCTTCAAATCAAGTTTAAAACTACAACTTTCACAAAATAACCCACGTCAGGAACTCTGAATCTCACTATTTCCTCAACTATTACTGGATGACAGGACCACCGGTGAGGAATACACACTGATGTTTTGGGTTGCAGGAATTTAACTTTGAGTAATACATGATCGTGTATGTGTACATTTTATATTCTTTTCTCAAACATTCATTACCATCGTGTGTATAAACTGCATGCACTTAGTTGTATTTTAATAATGTTTTTCGTATTTAGCAGAGCCATTAATTATTACTTTATTGATTTGCTTATATTCAAATAATATAAGAAGTTGGAGTTTAAAAGATACAAAACCAACTAGTTATTACCCCCTTAAAGTGCCTCATGGGATTTATGGATAAGGTCATATTTTAAGATTACAAAGCATTTGCATAGGTTATGGTTAAATTTTGATTTAAAGCTTTCGTGACTGCAGTAATTCATATTCTTAGCTCTTTCGGTAAAGTTCTCAAATTAGTTTAATATTATTTTCAACAATAAAATAATAAAATATATTTCATTATATATTATTATTTTATTGTTTCCCTTTAACGTGACTTTACCGAAAGAGCTAAGAATATAGGTTATGGTTAAGTACAAATACAATTACTTTAAAATTATTTCCTTTGAATAAAAAAAAAATGTCATGTTAAGTCGAAATGTACGCATGTATTTAGGTGTCAGTTTTGTAAATGACATTGCCATGTAAAACCTGGGAGTAAATACCGCTCTTTAGATTTATTTTTGAAGTGTTTTTTCATATTTTAGGGAATAATTTAGCAGCAGGGCACAGCAGACTTGTAAAGCGTAATGTTGTGTTCAAGCTTTTAAAATGTTTTTCATTGTCCTTTTAAAATCGGGTCACCGTTGCGCCGGTCTCTATAACCACACAACACACCCCAACTCTGTTCTGAAATACAGCCCTGTATTATTACCATAGAGTCTTAGAGCAAAGAGCTGCCATCCTGTGGAGTAATTCATGGCTTTATACTTTCGTGAGGGCCTCCCCAAGGTTGGTTCAGCCAAAAATGAGGTTTGGGTGTTGCCAGCAGTGGGGAGTAAATATTGATGGCATGGCGTGGTGCCTTATTCCATCCTCCCCATCGTGTGGCCATGAAACAAGCTCTTGCCAGTAGCGGTTACCCACGTGCTTCTTCAGGACATCGATATGGATGCTCATTACAGCTTCGGTGTTTCGTGTGACAGATTTGTTGGATACTGTGGCAATAAGGGTAAAGATTTCTCATCGTGAATGACATTGGTCATATTCCTAGGACACGGTGGTGATAAAATTATTTGAAATCACATGCCGAATAAATGCCTTGTGAATACAATGTATGCAAAAATATAATTTATGATAAATTGCGCACAATTTTCATTTCGTTCTCAAATTAGTTTAATCTTATTTTCACAGGTAATTTTTCTCAACCACATTTAATTGTAATTTTATATTTTTCTTCCTGAATGGTAAAGAAAAACATACAGTACATAGTAACATATAATCTGAAACAGAACTGCTATTTTTACCTCATATAAAATAAGACAAATTCTTAAAGTAGCCACTGTCCTTCACAGGCATTCCCTCAATGTCCGCCATAAATTCAGGTTCGAGGGAGGCCGATAAAAATAGCGGTGAAAATGTCATGCCATAAATGGAGACTGCTCAGCTAACTGCATATTTTATGCCTGCTGTAAAAATGTTTCTTTTAAATGTGCCCACCCTGAAGCAGTACAGTTAAATATATCTTATGTACTCCTTTCGCAAAATTACAACACTTGGGTTTTTGTTGAGCAAATTGTGTTTATTCCATTGTGTAAAGGCCTTGTTTTTTTATTTGACTACAGTGGTGGATTTTGCAAGGCAAGGCCAACATCGCAAGGGAAGGAGGAGAGTAATGCATATACCGAATGGAACAGAAATATGGCCAATGAAGGTGGCACTAGGGAGCCACACTATCAAGCATTTGGCAGCCCTGTTGCAGCTCTAGGGCGAAAAGGACCAAGTAGTTCATTGACCAGTTATGGACCAGGAGCCACAAATAAATTTAAGTCCAATTCTGCACAGTCTTGCACACCATCTCTGTCCTCTGCTAGAAACAAGGGGTCAAACTCCAGTGGTACAGGAAGAGGCAATGGCATGGGCTTCAATTCTAGAGGAAGGAGTAACGTGGGTAGCAGTGTTGGAGGAAGGAGTGACATCAGCAGCCCAATGTCAGGAAGGGGCAGTATGGACTATCAAGCTACTGGGCAGGGAGGAACCATGAACTCCAGTGTTAGAGGAAGGGGTGGCATGGGCTCCAGTATACACCAGTCTTACCCATCTACATCACAGGGCAACGTGCAGATTAAAAATACCCCACCTGGTCTACCTGCACGTCAGAGGGCCTTGGCAGCTGGCGACCACAGCAACACAGTTGGACAAGGAATGACTACGAACTGGGGATTGAGCCAAAGCGACTTATCAGATTATTCATTTTTTGATGATTCAGACTTCACAAACAGCAATTCAGAGGTACTTTTGTTTATTATTTAACATTCAGGTTTTCTCACAAAATAAGCTTTAAAACGCCTGTTAAAGAATTAACTTCTGCTTTAGAGAAATTTTGTTGCCGATGATAAGGATATGTTATCTGTAATGCAAGAGTAAGGCTGCCCGTGGGTTGGCTCATCCAATATCTTGTTTGGTACTAAATATATATTTTATCATGCACCAGTTTACTGTCTCATGCAAATTTAATTCTTAGCCAATGCTTTGGGTAAACTATTGAAACATTGAGCATTCCCAGTGGAGGGTCATTAATAAAATACGAATTCCGACAAAAAAATAGCGCTAATCCCCACTATGTGGTGTTGCTATCATGGTATGCACATACGCATGTAAACCTGTTATAAGACGTTTTTGTGGTGTTTTTGGCAATTTCAACTCCTCGCCTGATCCACTGCACGGTGGTCCTTTTCTGAAAAGCAGCAGCCAGCAGAAAAGAGGATGCCCACAGTGGCCGGCACGAGGGCTGGCTCCAAGCTGGTGACCAAGGAGAGGACGGTGCGCGTGCTTACGGCCACGGTGGAGAGCATGAAGCACTGGAGCCAGTACAGTCTACACGTGCCCCTGCTGTTTGAGCTGTTCGGTACTGTGTACTCTGAGGACGGACTAATAAAAACTATTTGAATTCATAAAGCATCTAAATGCATGTGTCTGCCACCAACGATGAGTGTTTTAACTGAGGAAAGGGAATGATAAAAGTTAATTATAACTGAAATGTAAGTGTGGAGATTTAACTAATTCTCACACTTTCTGTAAATGATGAGAAACTCGTCAGAAAAAAATACTAATAGCTTTTGTTTAACAAAGCCAATTATGGCAGCATATTTGTGCATAGAGAACAATGGACTTTGTGCAACAATTTATTCAGTTGCTTGTCAACATATAGTGCAAAGTAGTGTTAGTTGTAGCTCTGCCAAGACACTGCAATAGTCGTAAATAAAATGTCTGAAGTGGATGTGTCATTAGAGCAGAAATTTGTGATCAGATTTCCCTGAAAGAAGGTATTACAGTTGAAGAAATGTGTGGCAGATTGCATGCTATCTATAGAAACACCTGCATTTGTGAAAGCAATGTCAGCAAATGGGTCAAGCAATTCAAGGATGGTGAAACAGACATTGCTGGTAAAGCTGGGTGCAGCAGAGCAGGAATATCAGTGACCCTAACAAATGCACAGAGATTGGAAGAAATTATTCAGGCGAACTGGCAAGTAGGGAACATTGTGGGTACATTGCAGATTGGCCATAATTTTTGCAGGAAATGTTCTGTCAGTTGGAATATTACAAGTATGTGCAACAACGGGTACCTAAGGTGTGTACAAGCTGAGTTGTCTACAAATATCAGTGTAGTAGAACAGGGTTCTAACGTAATGTTTATTGTCAAGTTGGTGTCAGGATGGCAAGAGTAAGTCAATCGTGCTCAGGATTATGTGTAGAAGTGACAATAATTTGGCCTAATGATGCTCTTGTCACGTTCATGACTATTGTGGGCATGCTGATAATAAAGGAGCATTCATGAATGCTCTCGGTATCTCCCTCGTCTAATGCAGTAGAGTTTGAATCAGATTTGGGAATATAGAGAATGTCATTAGTAAAAAAAGAAGAGTCGTTTTACTGTATTTTCCTCTTTTACAAACGATTGGGGTGGAGCATCAGCAGAATATTAGCCAAGGGGAAGATGTTTGGGACAGCAGGGGCATTTGATAAGCCACTACCTCCCCTTATCCAGAGGTTAAATGTTTGGCTGTTATATAAAAGCTGTTCTGCTTAACAGTGTGAAAATATACATTTGTAGTACCACATTGAATACATTGAAATTGCCCTGTAAAGTCTAAATTGCAGAACATTTCAGCTTGTCAATACAAAAGCCTTTATCGGAAAAGCTGCAGATGACCTTTCCGTGTGGCTATGGAATACACTTTTCTTGTTTGTACTTAGTCCTGATGATGGATCAATTTAATTACTTGGAATTTTTTGCTGACTGTCTTTTACTCTTTCACCTGCTGCTGCTGCTGCACTCCCACCCAAACTCAATACTTGCCGTGTGTCTTATTCGGATCACAAAGCAGAGAGTGCTGCTTAATTTTAATAAGGAGTGGGAGTGAAGGCATTGCAGCGACAAAGCAAAATGCAACCAAGCGCTCTTTATGACGAGCCATTTGATGGGTGATGCCGTCTGGCTTTGTGAAACAAACAGCCACGTTCGGTTTTGTCGTTCTCTTGTCTCAGTTATGGTGAAGAGGTTGCTGTTATCTTTAAGGAGGAGTGATCGTTGCTTCTTGTCTGACATTTTTTTGACAGTGGCCATAAGTACGCAATGAGTGAATGTCAGTGCATGCCTTTGGTGTTGCCGTTACTGCACTCTAAAAGGATATGTACAGTACATGTACACATGCAGTCCTTTTGCTAATCCATTTCTGGATGAGGGCTTTTCCATACCGTGTAGGTCACAGGGATTATTTGACCATACTTCACCCCGTTAGTGCCTGTTGGCGAAAACAGGGAGGGTACGCTTGGGAATCTAGAAGCACAGTACAACAATAGCTATTTTTGCACTGCCCTCGACTGAGCACCGTGTAGTACAGCCCCACAGCTACCTATGACAACTTGGCGTACATGGTCGTCACCCTCGCCAGGATTAACTCTGCTTAGCTTCCAAGATCTGACGACATCCTGGGTAATTTGGGCATATGCCTAAAAGGATATACCATTGCCAAAAATAAATTTAAAGTATTGTGATGCCAGCTTGCCTTTCATAGATGAAATATTTAAAACAGGTGTGGTTTTATCTTCTTGGTTCTTTTCTTTAAAGTCACGTAGAATGGAAATAAAATAATAAAAAATAAAACATAATAAAATAAAATTCTCACGACGTTTCGGCCACAACACAAGTAGCCTTCTTCAGGTGAAGGAACAGAACTGTCGGGACGACAGCGCTTCAATGTTTTTATTATTTTATTTCCATTCTACGTGACTTTACCGAAAGAACCAAGAAGATGAATCCCTGCAGTCACGAAAGCTTTAAATCGAAGGTGTGGTTTTACTTGAGAACATGAGATTTACGAAAGTAATTGTTTACGCGCTTATGTTAACAATACTATTCAGAAACAACGCAGTGTCAACAACTTTAAGAAATGGTTAAATAAAGGTTAAGGGGTTAACACTGCTGCTTGTACAGTGGCAGCACCGTGTGACCGGGCGGTTGATTAACGTCGTAAAGAAACCGGAGAGCCCAATGTCAAATATCGTGATTGCAGCTTGACCCCATTTAATAATCTCTTTATTGCAAATCCTGCATCCGCTGATTAAACATCTCCCAACAGCTATTTAATTTATCTTTCCCCTGATTATTTTTTTTAATGGGAGATAAATACAATTTATAGAACGTTGATAACAAAAAGCATCCTTTAGATATCAGAAATGTAATTTCATGATAAAAATGCCATAGATGTCAGACAGCAATGAATAATAGCGTAGTATATCTCTCAAGAGTGTGAAATCAATTTGAATGGACAGATACAACAATTTCATTGTGTGTGGCTCGGAATATGTTAACATATTTGTGTATTTGTTAACTTCAAGTTCTGTGCCTTTTTTCCATCAGCAACTTTGGATTCTGCAGTTGCACCAAAGGAGAGATTTGCCAAGGTCTTTACCCTTAAGGATGGGCCTCACGCCATCAGATGCATATTCTATGAAACTGTAAGTGCATCCACAAATATATGATTGTTCTTCGTTCTTCACGTGTCTTCATTCATCATCGTCGTCCACCATGATATATCCACTGCTGAATGAAGACCTGCCACATTTAACCTCTCCAGCACATACCCTCTCAGACATGTTTCCCTTCTTTAGCTGCCACGCCATTATTTGTCTTGACCAGCAGCAGCCATCATCCATTCGGCCGCCTTATTCTAGCTTCTGCGGAGGGCTTCTCGGCGATTCGCGCCTCGCCCGTTGCCCCCATCGCCACTGATGTCCTCTCCTTCCCCCCCCCCACCTCCAATGTGTGCAGATACTACTGACTCTATTGTATGTAGGGTATGTAGCCATGTATGCGTACAAAATAAATGTATTTTTAGGGGGGGGGGGGGGCAGTGAAAAATGTTTTGGGGGATGGGGGTCGACAATTTTTGTAAACCTGTTGGATCAACTTTTTACCCCGACATTTGGGGGAGAGGGGGGGGTCCACTTTTTATAACTTTTTGATCCAAGCCTTCCGAAAGGCTCTTATTATTTAGTTGATGGACAAACGAACAAATGGAACGTTGGGCTATTATAATAGTCAATATAATATCAATAACTTGTGTATGTTCACTAATTAATGCATTTCTCATGCTGCCTCAATGTAATTACAAGTACACTGTCTTAACGTCATCACTCTTCTTTGCACACTTCGCAGCTTTTGTTTATTTTTCATCCCAGTCCGTGCTTATTTTCATGGTATGTTGCTTTTCATGATTACTGTAGCTTTTCCAAAAAGCACACCAACAACCCGCTCTTGTCCTCCTCTTTATGTTGTTACTTTTATCTCAGTCCACTTTCAATAACATTGGGTTTCTATAATGTAACGCGTTTTTTTGTGTCCCTCTAACAGGTTGCTTAGTGAACTTGTTTTTGCATTGATTTTGTTTTACTCGTATTTATTTTGAAACCCAATTGGCAGCTTGTAGTTCATTTCCATTGCATGAGCTGTCATCAGCAATTCTGGGATGGTTCTTATCGTCTTCATTGATAATTGTCCCTTTACTTCGCCAATCAAATTTTAGGAAAACATCTTTCAATACGGGCAGTCCTTGACTTAGGAACATAACTCTTTCCTGAGACCCGTCCTTAAGTCAAACAGTTTGTAAGTCGGAAAACAACAATGTACTGTATTTAAATGCCCATACGGTCAGTGTTATGAAATGTGTTACAGTTAAACACAAAAGGGAAGCATTGTTAAACGCATAAATAAGAAGAAATAGTGTACATTTGCATGTAATACTGTAATAAATACTGTAAAGTAAATACAACATGAGTCCTTATGCTGGCTTGCTTGTCGGAAGGGCGCAACGAGTCACCACATTGCACAAACACACACAGGGCACGCACGCATACAGACACACACCAACAACAAGATCCCCTGTATAGCCTTAACAGACTGTTGGGGCACGTGTTGTTGGCTAGCAGTGCCTATGAAGGCCGGCACAGCACACGAGGGAATGAGTGGTCAGCACCACCCCTGGTTCCTATTGAGTCCATCTTGGCGATGTTTACATATCGCAACAGGGTACTCATTTGCGGTTGAGTCGCCCTAGGGGAGGCCCATGACCGGTTCAAATAATCGTCACTGGTGTTGGCCGTGAGCGGGAATCGAACTCGGGTAGCCGGGTTGGTATCGCAGCACGCTAAGCACTGCACTACCATTCCCCACGCACACGCACGGGGGCACGCGCACACACACGCAAATAGGTGCTCAGGAAGACAAACATCTACCGTGTAGCCTTAACAGACGATTGGGGAAAGTGCTGTTATCGAGCACCTATGAAGGCCGGCACGGCACACGGAGGGGTGGGTGGCCAATGCCATGCCCAGCCGACTGTCTCCCCAGCGGCGATGTTTACACCACACCAGGTACTTATTTGAGGCAGAGTCGACGTAGGGGAGGCCCAGGACTGATTCAGATAATCATCACTGGTGTTGGCCATGAGCAGGAATCGAACTTGGGTCGCCAGGTTTGTAGTGTAGCGTGCTAACTGCTACACTACTTTCACACACACTAAATGTAAACATTACAGCAGTTATGACTGAAACTGGTTGATAACGTCCTTCCAGTGATTGCTGAGTTTGTACCCGTCATCTCGGTTGAAATTGTGCCTAGGGGAGAGAGCTGAGGTGAGGAGCCAGGCTCTATCCACTGCTGGCCTAGACTACTGGCTATAGCTTGCTCTATCCACTGCTGGCCTAGGCTCCATCTCTATAGCTTTTGCTCTATCATGGCCTAGACTCCATGTCTATAGGATGCTCTATCTACTGCTGACGTAGACTCTTGTGCCCCGCCCACTCAGTTCTGACACTTGGGCTACGCCCACTTCTAAACCTTTATAAACAGTTACATTCGAGGCTCCCCCCCTCCCCCCTTTCTCTCCGCCTGATGACGACCACTTGTGTTGCGATCGAAATGTCGTGAGTTTTGGGTTTTATAAAAAAAAAAAAGTGCTTTTATTATTTCAATTTTATTTACTTTATTATTTTATATCTACGTGACTTTACCAAAATAACCAAAGAATATAAATTCCTGCAGTCACGAAAGTTTAAAGTCAAAATTTTAAGTCAATGTTAAAAATTATATTTCATGGAAGCTGGTTCGGGAGGGTGTTTATAAATCAGGTGTTCATAAGTCTTCTAGGACTATGTATCAAGGTGAATAACTTTGACTGAAGCACGTCTCCTTGTCTGAGTTCACTTATCATATGCACTATATTATGTATTCCCAATAGAGCTGTTATATTTTTTTATCATTATTCTTTCTAAATATTTTATTTAGGTCTTGATTTGTAATAGCTTATCTATTAAAAACGGGTTATAACTGACTTGAAGAATTTTAGACTCATTAGCTTCTGATTACAATTATACATACATTCTTTACAAAGATCATTGGAAATATAATATTGGAAAATTAGAGACAAACCAACCACATGAGCAAGCCACATATATGGAAAGGTTTCTCTACCATCAACCACATACATACTAGCAATCAAATAATCAGATTATGGAAAAGGCAAATGAATATCAAACACTATTAATGCCAACCCTTTGTCAACTATGAAAAAGCATTTGACTCAGCGAAAGTTTATTCATTCTTCAATCACTTGGATATAATTACATCCGATATTCTTTAGTGTTATCAAGCATCTTACTCAACCAATGTGAAATGTTCCCACTCGTATCTTTGCACTGCCTACGTGTTTCCGCACAGGGGAAGCGCTGTCCTGGTTCTAGCCATCCTGGAGAAAGCAGTAAACACCACGAGGAGCCTAATCAGAATCGACCTCAATTAACAACAGCATTGTACTGACAGAGAAGCTTAGCCTGGCTTGCGCACTGTACTGTAGTTCAATACATCACGGTTGACGCTGAGTAATTCTGCTTGGCAACAGCTTTAAAATGCTAATGGGGTATATATGCCAGCATGAGTTATAACGCTGCCGATGTGTCTTCCTAGCGGTTTGCGTAAAATGCAGTTCATCGCATTGCTAAGCAAAGACTCCTCGGTCACCCTGCCTTGAAACCACAAAGGAGAAAGTTGCAAGAGCTATCGCCTGTGCAGGACTATTTAAGCCTGTTTTCCATAGATAAAGGGCCCAGTAAGTGTTAAAATAAATCTCTGCACAACCCCCATCAATTTGCAGAAAGGCAAGAAAAATGGGTTGCCACAAGTTTACATTTTATTCAAACTGCAAGTAATATGGTGAATAGTGAGCGGTTACAGTTTTACATGTCTCCTATTATTTTAGGGTCAGCTAGGGTGCAAAAAGAATAATGTGTTTATATGGCTTTCTGCTTGAGTGTGTTTGGTGGCCCGTGGCAATGGGCGTTCTTATTTTTTTTCAAGAAGCGTGGGAAATGCCATTTAGATAAATACCACCTGCAATTGCTGACCTGAAAGGCAATGCAGGGATCATGGAAGGGTTTAATAATAGAATTGGGTAAAAAAAATAATACTGGTTTCTGCTGAGGTTGCAGAAAATGATATTTTCTGCACAGACGCCATACTAACAGCTCACAGAGTGAGATCAGTACAAAGATAATGCCAGTGCGTTTAATGAAAGACCGAAATTGTATGACACATTCTTTAGCAGTCAGTCATGGGCATTCACATCTGCCCTGATGCTATCGAAGCTTGAGCAATAGAAGTGTCATTTAAGGCTTTGTTAAAGGCGAACTACCAGATCGTACTCATAAAATAAATGTGAAGATGTACAGAGAGCATAAATATCAAGAAAAAAGGTGTTCCTTCTCGAGGCACTTGCAATCCAATTTATTTCGCGTTTGAGGGGGAACAAAGGTTGGCTTTAAATTAACCTTGTTAAAGGAGCCCACCGTGTATCCATTATGGAGCTGCACACACAAGGTTCAACACCTGGAGTATTGCATATTAAAATAATCAGTCGAGTGCACACAACTTAACATGCATGTCGGCACTGTGCAATGGGTGCTCGATTATAAAGCAGTGCCTCTCATCTCATTGTAGCCTCAGGAGCCGAAGACACTGACTTCACACATCTACCAAACAAGCACGAGTCAGTCGTGCTGTGGTACATAATGTTTTGCTAGAAGAAGGGTGAAACCCGGCTGGGGGGTACAAAGTGTGACTTGATTCAGTTTCTCATTCCTGAGATTGAGAGTCACTTTCATGAATTGCATGCCAAATTATTTCCATGTGCACTGCCTTGTCAAGGAGAGAAGTGTGTCTTTTGGGAGTGCGTGTAAGTGGAATATCATGCAAACACTGTACAGAAAAAGCTTCTATCACCTTTAAGTTATTTCGCAGTTTCAACCTTCAATCTATGTATGTTTTGATTTTGAGATCTTGTTGTATACGTGGTAAATTGCCATGTATAGTATTTATTGTACTGTACATGGTGGCAGTAGCCACATGTGTTTCCAGCTCATGCTGTTGGCTCTATTGTTAGACAACTTAGAAATAGCTAGCGTTTATGTGGGCTGCCTCATACAAGTCCTTGTCATGCAAAAGATCGTCATTGGCCATGATGAATCCACTGTTGGACAAGCCCTCCCCAAGGCATTAAGGGTGCCGCGTTGGAGAGATGTAAACTACCTCGCCTGGTTACAGGCGGTCGTGGGTTCGATCCTGACCTGGATGCCTGTATATTTGGAGTTTGCGTGTCTCTCTCCCCGTGGTCACGTACATTTTTCTCTGGCTTCTCCGGTTTTTTTCCTCCACATTTAGAAACGTGCGTTTAGAGTATTTGGCTGCTATAAATTTCCAGGTCGCTTCTGAAAAAGAGCCATATAGCTGAGCGGGCCTTACCTCGTAAAATATAAAATAGTTTCGTTTTTTTAGAGTTTAATTACCATTTCACACTTTTTTGCAAGGTAATAATCCACTTATCACCGGCACAGAATTTGATTTCATTTCTCCATCTCCACAACGTACGTACTCTCAGGGGTGATCCCTACCTTGTCTACCACTCTTAACGTTGTGCAAGAACAGTACCAGGTACAGTTTAGAGCACCATTCTCCATTGGGCCAAGAGCCCAGTTGAAACTGTTTAAAAAATATGGCCTCAAGGCCTGATACTTATGTCATGTAATTTTGGATAAAAGTCCACCACACCTGCTGTGCTTCAGCCCCTACAGTTGGAAATGTTTTATTGGCTGTAAAAGCCATATCGTTATGGTAAAAATAGATGTGAGTAATAGCACAATCACTTTAAAGACTGGTTTTCATACCAAGAATAGGCTTCTTTAAGCTGCGTATTTTTTAAATCTCATTGAAATTTAATACATTGTCCTATCATGTGCAGTGATGCATAATGAGTTATTGTTAAGTAATTGCAATTGGCAATGTGTAATCATAATTAACTTTGTAATACAGTAATTCACAGTGCATTTTCCTTTTGTTAACTTTTTAGTTGCTCTTTAAAATTTTAAATAAGCTTAATGTCAAGATTGGCATTATTGTCAGCTTGGCTCTATCCGCTGCTCGTTGAATGCCTTCCCACATCTCCATCCCTCGCAGTACCGGGATGCCACAGTCCATATTTTTTTGGATGTCCTAATAAAAAAGAAACCTGATGGTTCAATGAGCCACTCTGTCTACAGAAAAGCTACCCATACGGATGCTTACCTGAAACCGGATTCCCACCACCATCCATCCCAGAAGAATTCCCTCATCAAGACTCTGCACCATAGAGCCCAATGCATCTCCGACCAGGAACACATTGCCAGTGAACTCAAGCACGTACACCAAGCTCTTAAGGCTAATGGTTACTCAGACTACACAATCCGCAAAGCCATCACTCCAACCATGAAGAAGGACCCTCTTGAGGAGCCATTCAAAAACATCACTTTACCCTACATTGCGGGGATCACAAAAAAGATCTCCAAAATCTTGAATAAATACAAGATCCAGGTCTCATTCAACACATTACATAAAATCTGTGATCTGGTTCCATCTGTAAAAGATGTGATTCCGGACATACAGTACCCTGGCGTCTACAAACTAAGTTGCTTCTGTGGTAGTAGTTACATTGGAGAAACCAAACGACATGTCTCGGACCGCATCCATGAACACAAAGCAGACATAAAACACGGTAGGACCAACACCTCGGATGTGGCAGATCACTGTTATAATTCAGTAGGCTAACATGACATTGACTTCTCCAAGACAGAGGTTCTGTCCAAGACATCTGGCTACCATGAGAGATTCGTTCATGAGGCTATCCACATATACAAACACAGAGACAATTTCAGCCGAGAAGATGGATTCTGGCTTAGCAATTATTGGAAGGATTTGATAAACCATTTCGGGTCTTAATTGATTGTGTTCACGCTTATGGTGACTTTCAGACCGCATCCATTCTCTTCCTCTCCCCCCTCCTCTTTTCCGAACATAGATGGACTCGTTCATCTGAACAACTGCCAAATTGCTGTCCGTGGTGCGAACGTTAAGAAAAAAACGCCACTTTTTTCAAATTTTCTTGCTTTGGTTTTCACACCTGATGATGATTGCTTGTGTTGCAGTCGAAACGTCGTGAGAATGTTATTGTTTTATATATTTTTTATTATTTTATTGTTTCCCTTCTTCGTGACTTTACCGAAAGAACCAAGAATATGAATCCCTGCAGTCACGAAAGTTTTAAATTAAATCAAAATGTTCTTGTCTGTCTTTTACCTTTGCATACTTTTCTTTTGTTGCGTGTTTTTGTTGTTGCACGTTCTTTGTCAGAGTCCACGTTCTCGATCCATATGTAGTGACATCGGGAATGTCACTGTATGGTGCCGGCCCGGAAGGGTCGTGCTGTTCGATATTCCTACATCATGGACAGCACTGTGTGGGTGGCTGTGTGTAACATCAGCCCTAGTGGGGCTTGGCGAGCACTGGGATAGTGCGGGCACCACGCACAGCGTGTGGTAGGGGCTCCCCCGAGAGTGTCAGCCCAGGGGCAGGGTTGCCCCGGGCCATGGTACTCTGGTTGACCCCGTGGACACGTGATCCAGAATGTCCACATAGGGGGCCCCAGGTGGTGGGGACTAGTGGAGAGAGCTCTTGAGAAGGATCGAGAGGGAACAAGAATGTTCAAGAAGGCAGGCGGGGCCGAGGGCGGAGCGGCCCCGACCGGAGAGGGATATAAGGCGGGTCCCTGAGAGGGACCGGGGGTCTCTTCGTTCTACAGGCTGGAAGCTCTGCGTCTCAAGCTGGAAGCGCTTCGTCCTACGAGGGACCACGTGGTCAGAGACCCGAGTGAGGGTCTGACCCTTCGTAGCAGTAACTCCCCTGTATAGTGTAGTTAGCCGGGTGGTCACCACCCTAGGTTGTATCTGATAAAGAGGCAGTTTACCTCTTTGTATTATGGTGTTATAAATAAAAGTGTTGCCTCTAAAAGGAACAACGTCTGCGACTCAGTTGGACTCACTACACATGTCATGGCAGGTAATATTCATAGGTTGAAATGTTTCCTTACGAACACTTAGCCATCCAGCGCACCTGAATGTATTTTGAAAATAAACAACACATGATATGTTTATTGCTGCAGGACCGCGAGCTCCCCCGGCTGACACGAGGCTTGCTGCACCGGTGTGTGGGCCGCTTTGACCAGCAGCAGGAGGTGTTCCAGTGTTTCTCCATACGCCCGGCCTCAGCAATAGAAAAAGACACCTACCTAACACTGGTCAGTGCTGCTGACTACACCATGCAGCTGTTTGTAGCCAATTTACGTGAGCCGTAATCTACACTTCCACCACCCATCCGCACCAACAGCACATTGTACCTTCTGTGGTACCAATATGAGTGCCACTTCTGGTTTCCACCAGGATGTCTTCTTATGCGTTTAGAGTATTTGGCTGCTATAAAGTTCCATGTGATAACCTACTTTGTTGAACTTCTGAAAAATAACTATATAGCTCAGTGGTCCTTACCTGGTTAAATAAAAATTGTTTAGTTTAGTTTTATTGAGGTAGCTGTTAGGAGCATTCTACAGGTTTTCCCGGGACATTAATATTCCACGTGTTTGTCAATTGTGTGATAATTCACCAGCATCTATATTTAGTTCTCCCCTCTTGCGGAATTGAGATGTTCTTCCCACAATATGTGCCAGTGTTTTATACATCAGAGTTGGCAACACTACCACCTGCACTTGCAGCATCCATACAATACCAAACCCTCACACTCTCCGTCATCCTCGCAAAGTTCATTGTCGAGTGATTCTAACCACTTGGCAACAAATGGGCAAAATTTGTAATGGAATCTTCCATAAGCATGTTGTGCCATTTGTAGGCATCTTCATCGCTTATGGGCATGATAGGTTTAGTTGTTAAATTGTTTATGTTTTGTTCTCTGTAACACTGCTATCAGCCGCATCGGGCAGTAAGGTAAATAACAACCCTTGCGTAGGAATGTTGAAGCATGTGGTTAATATGGCGATGAATTTTATTCCAGACTGACACAATATGGGCTACTCTTGCAGATGGTACCATACCTAGATCTATGTCAGGTAGGCATGTGGGATGTACTTTCTTGTATAATTTGAAATTCTGCTAAAACTCATTTTGCTAAATCAGGCAAGCATGCCATACATTCATAACTATCTTTTTTTATCAAATTGCTGAGCGTTTATGATTTTTCTTTCCAGCTTGAGTTAATTACAGGTCTCGGAGTGTTATTCGTGAAGTGTTTTCCTCCTGCCTTTCCGCCCCGTTTTGACAGCATGGCAGCTGATTTTTTTTGCAAAATGAACCCAATTCTGCCACAGGCCGCATGAATGATTAAGCCAAAATGGGCTAAGCTAGGTCATAGTTAAAGGTTTAAAACACTGGACTTGCAATGCAAAGATCGCCCATTTAGTTAACAATGAGGAAAGTTTATCAAATCCCCCATCTGGCCACCCAAGTGTAAATGGGTACACCACAGTCCATGGCAGGTCGTGTGCGGTTAGGTGAAGTGTGGGTACGCTCACATCTGGTCAGTTTGGAAGAGTAAGCCCAGCTATGCTCGAGAGTTCGCTCGAGTGGAGGCCTTCCCGCCAACACTGGCATTAACAAGCAATGTGCAGGGCCACACGTTGACCTTTTAACTGATGCTAGCAGCTAATGCGAGGCAGTTCACAGCATGATTGGTTGGCGCTGGCCACAGGTGGAGATTGCTATTGGTGGATTCCCCTCAACCTCCCCCTTGCTATTCTGTAAAACAGCGCTTGCGGAGCTGAACTTGCATTTCACCCAATAGCATTCCGGCTGACTCGTATATATAGCAAAAAAATAATCTTATACAAGAATAGCACATTTAACTGGCTCCCAATATTCCGTTCTGTGTGGGAGTTCACTACTTGTAAAGACAGCACGTAAGCCCTAAATCGAAATAATGGAAAGTTATGTGCTGAGCTAATGGGGTAGCAGTCAGTCTGCATACAAATAATTCCCAGACTCATTAAAGTTTGAAAATGTGCATTGATTTGTTAAAAAGGTTCCCTTTTGTGTATAACTGCATATTGCAAGTCCTAAGTGTTAACATTTGTACATTTTAAGTACAGATTATATGTGTTGGTTGTGGTGTTACGTTAATGTATTATTCACTGAAAATTAAACAAGTTGTCCAAATATTACATATGTTTGAAATCGTTTATTACCGTATTATAATTGTAGGTAAATGTTCATTTCGGTTTTGCGTCTTTCACAGGATGCCACAGGATAAAATGTAACTTACATGATGCATATTTTCCAAATTGCTAAATTGGGATTATACTTATCAATCATCTCCCCCTTACTGGCAGACTTGCCCCAGGTCACTCTTACAAATGAGACTATCCTGGTCTCTTGAGTTCTCACCTGGTTAAACAAAATTAATTTGAACATATTAAACTTTATACTGAGATTTAGATTCTGAACTCCACCACAAGGGCTAACTTGTGATGTCATTTATCTTATTTTGGATTTTATATCGCGCTTTGCTCAAAGTGCTTTGCTCAAAGCGCTTTTCAAGAATTGTAAATTGTACATTAATATTGACTGATGGGGAAATGGGATGGAGTTTGAGTGTAGCGGAAGGGATGGCAAGGAAGGGTGATGATAGGGTAAGGGAGGGGTGAGGTGAGGATGGCGAAGGTTGAGAATGGTTAAGGTTTTAAGGATGTGGATAGGAAGTATTAGAGGGATAGGCTTATTGAAAAAAGATGAGTCTTAAGGGAGGAACGAAACATTGTGAGTGAAGTTGCCCGTTTGATGTGAATTGGGAGTTTATTCCAATAGAGGAGAGACCGGAGAGAAAAGGAGCAGGAACGTGACTGAGCACAGGGAGGGAGTCGTAGTGGGGGCCAATAGAGATTGTGAACGCAGGGGACTAGATGGGACATAGTAAGAAATAAGAGAAGTGAGATAGGGTGGGGCAGAACCATGGAGCGATTTTTAAACAAGAGTGAGGAATTTTAATAAACAGCGGTAGTAGACGGGAAGCCAATGGAGTTGGACAAGGATACCAGAGGAATGAGTGATGTGGAAGATTTAAATAATCCGGGTCGAAACTTTTGAATTTGCTTGAGGGGAGCTAAAGCGTAGGCAGTTGAGCAATAAGAAAGGAATTACAGTAGTAGAGATGAGAAACGATGAGGGAATAGATGAGTATTTGACAGCGGAAATTGAGATAAGGGGGCAAATTTTCCGGATGTTGAAGAGATGAAAGCAGCACATATGGGATGCGGTGGAGATATGTTTGGTGAAGGTTAGAGAGGGATCAAATGTGACCCCAAGTTTTCTGGCAAAGGGGACGGGAGTGAGGAAAAAGGGGGGAAATGAAATAGTGGGATTTATGTGAGGGGAGCGGGAAGCAGGAAAAAAATATTTCGGTCCGGGAGGGATTGAGGGAGAGGATATGTAGTGCCAACCATGATTGGACCGCAGTAAGGCATTCAGAAATACGTAGAGCGAGATCTGAAGTGAAAGAGGGGGAAAAAAAAGCTTGTGTTGTCTGCGAAGAAGTGCGAGTGAAAACTAATTTATGAAATGATGGCTTCAAGAGGTGAGATGTAGACGGAAAACAGCAGCGGGCCAAGAACCGAACCCTGGGGAACATCGACAGTGACATGAGAAAGAGGGGAAGTAGAATGATTAAACAGGACTGACGAAGCGCGAGAAGTGAGATATGATTAAACCCAGGAAAGAGGTGTACTGTAGATGCCGAGACCAGGGAGGGTGGAAAGGAGAGTTGGAATGACCGAGGGTGTCAAATGCTGCAGAGAGGTCTAGGAGAACGAGATTTCAAGAAAGGCCGGCATGAGCAGAGTTAGACAGGTGGTTTTTTTTTTTTTTACAGCGAGAAGGACAGTCTCAGTTGATTGAAGCAGTGGAAACCCAATTGGAATTGTGATAGAGAGAATTTGAAGAGATTAAATCAGTGAGCCGAGTATGAATGAGACGTTTGAGGACCTTAGAGAAATAGGGAAGAATGAGGATAGGGCGATAGTTTGCTGGGATGGTTGGGTTGAGAGAGGGTTTTTTGAGAACGGGATTAATAGTGGCTGATTTGAAGCTTGCAGGGAAACGCCAGTTGTAAGGGAGGAGTTAAATAGTGAGACCAGATAAGGAAGAAGAAGATGGAGGACAGGAGTTATGAGAGAGGTGGGAATGGGGTCGAGAGGAGAGGATGTTGGGTGGGCTTTGCAGATAGTTGACAGTTCAGCTACAGATGTTGGTGGGGGGGGGGGGAGAAACGGTGAAGAGGGAAGCGGGCGATGGTGATAGTGAAGAAGAGGGAGGAAATTGCGGGATAATGGAGGGACCAGGGAGGATGATTGTGCGAATGAGCTAAATTTTTGTGATGAAATGGAGAGCAAGTTCGGAAGCAGAGGGAATGTAAGTGATGGGATAATGCACTTGAGCAGGTGGACAGAGAAGGTTTTTCAGAGTAGAGAAAAGTTGGCGTGGATGACGAGCAAGAGAAGAAATAAGGTTGGGATAGTACTGCTGCCTAGCCATTTCTAAGGCAGCCAAGAACTTGGTAAGGAGAGAGCGGTGAGATAATAAGATTTTAGGTGAAGGGGAGGATTTAGATCTTTTGGATTTGTGCACAGAGCGATGGTCAGACCTCAGGAAAAGAGTTATCCATTGTTGGGGGGGGGGGGGGGGTTTGGACGATGGAGAGCGAAGATGAAGGGGAGCTAGGTGGTTGGTGGAGGATGATAATGCAAAGAGGAGAGCAGAAGAAGCTGCACCAAGATGAAGGGTGAGTAGTTGGTAATAGAGGGATGCAGGGAGAATGTGAGGTTTGTCAGTGAGCTGACGTCAAGGGAGCGATGGGCACGGCAAAGGAGCAAGAAGAGAGGGAGGACATATTGATCAGAGGGAGGGCCAGGGTCTGAGGAGACAGATGCTGCTTTGTAGTTTTGAGATAAAGACTAGATCTAGGGTACTGCCAGATACATGGGTAAGGGGCAAAGGGAGAAAATCCAGGCCAAAGAAATGAAGGAGAGAAAGGAAGAGACAATAGCGGGACTGTCAAGTTGTAGGTTGAAGTCACCTGATAAAATAAAAGGATGGGGCAGAGAAGGCATCAAGGTGGTCATAGAAAAGTCCTGGGGGCAAGTGGGTCCATAAATAATAAGAAGAGTAAGAGGGTAAGGGGAGGAAAAGGAAGAAAGTTGGATTTCAAAATAAGGGAAAAGGATGGTTGAGAGTCGCACAGGGGCAGGAGTCCAATAAGAAAGTAATATGAGACCGACACCACCACCCCTGCCAGCAGGTCGGGGGTGTGTACGAAAGCGGAGGTAGTGGAAGAAAGGCCCGCAGGGGTTACCGTGTTGAGGGGTGATATCCAAGTTTGAATTAGGACGAGGATGTCAAGGTGAAAGGAAAGTGTCCAGGGTAGATGCTGGTTTATTGTAGACAGAACATGCGTTCCATAGAGCAATTTTTATGGTGAATTCAGAATTAGAGGAATTGGGGGCTGATCAACATTTTGGGGGGTGGGCATTGTTGGGGGAAAGAGATTAATGAGATTGGATGTGGCCGAATGGCGGTGCCAAGTAAACTTTTGACCAGTAGAGCGGGTATGAATCGATGAACAGAGCATAGGGATATATATAGATTTTGAAGACTCATACGTGGTGGAGTGATTAGGGGAGGGGGGGGTGCAAAGGGTGTGCGATTGGAGCGCAATAGGGGAAGTGCGACGACAGCGAGAGGGAGGGGACTGTGGATGGGTTGTGCAGGGGAACGAGAGGGAGGGGACGGTGTGGATGGGTTGTGCAGGGGAACGAGAGGGAGGGGACGGTGTGGATGGGTTGTCCAGGGGAACGAGAGAGAGGGGACGGTGTGGATGGGTTGTGCAGGGAAACGAGAGAGAGGGGACGGTGTGGATGGGTTGTGCAGGGGAACGAGAGGGAGGGGACGGTGTGGATGGGTTGTGCAGGGGAACGAGAGGGAGGGGACGGTGTGGATGGGTTGTGCAGGGGAACGAGAGGGAGGGGACGGTGTGGATGGGTTGTGCAGGGGAACGCGAGAGGGAGGGGACGGTGTGGATGGGTTGTGCAGGGGAACGAGAGGGAGGGGACGGTGTGGATGGGTTGTGCAGGGGAACGCGAGAGGGAGGGGACGGTGTGGATGGGTTGTGCAGGGGAACGAGAGGGAGGGGACGGTGTGGATGGGTTGTGCAGGGGAACGCGAGGGAGGGGACGGTGTGGATGGGTTGTGCAGGGGAACGCGAGGCGACCGAGTGGTGTGCCCCCTGCCGCCCCTGCAACCACGACGGCGGTGATGATGGCGGCAAGAGCCACGTATGAGACCAAGTTCTATGAAAGTGGTGAAGGTGGTGGGATGAAGTCGCCGTGGTAAGTGGGAGACTACGCAAGGTTGCTCGTGAAATGAACTGGAAAACGCAGGGACCAGGGCTAGGATGCACACCAACCAGATGCAAGCGCCTCTTTGCACAGTGCGTTTTTGAGATAGTGAAGGGGGTGATAATGATTGCGGGTATTGGAGGGGTAATGTTAATCATTAAAGTAACAACATTTGAGGCAAAGGGCGTGAAGTTGGGATATGGAATGGTGGAGGATTTGATGAGGGCTGAAGATAGTGATGTGAGATAGAAAGTAGTCTCCAGGCGCTCTGGACCCCACACGGTTAAGACAGGATCTTGCCAGTACTAATGACTCGCCCTCTCAGGGCATCACCGCCCACATGAATTGCAGTCGGTGGTAGAGCAAAACGGAACAGCAAAGTTCATGACCTGGCAAGGCTGGGGCACCACAAAGTGACAGCACAACACCCCAACTTCCAGCGGCGCACGCACACATGTACATGCCTATACACACCCAGAACCAAACATTCCACATGAGTGAGATTCCCACTCCACCAGCAGACGCACTTAGAGCCAGGCATACGGAAGCAGCGGCCCCTGCGTCCCGCCAACACACACACACGTATAGACACGGGCACAACCGAGGCCAGGTATCCCGTAACAGCAAGAACTAGGGTCCGCCAGGATTCACACACACACACCTAGACGCAGACACACCCAGAGCCAGGCATCCCACAGCAGTAGGGCTCACGCTCCACCAGCACACGCGAACAGACACAGGCGCAAAAGAGGCCATACATCCCACAGCCACAGGACGCAAGCTTTGCCAAGATTCGCACATATACAAAGACACAGGCACACCCAGGGTCAGGTCTCCCACAGCAACAGAGCTTGCGTTCCGCCAGCACACACAATCATAGACACACACGGGTCTAGGCAATCCGCAGCGCGTTGCCTCGGCATTCAAACCAGGCATTAATGTGAAACATGTAATTCCAACCTGCTGTGTAGTAAATGATTGAGTTCAGCTCAGCTCAACATCATCTGTATTAACAATATTTCACTCACAATTCAATTTCCATATAAATATCCATAATCATGGAACATAATTTCGTAGCATCTGCATGAATAAAATTCCAGGGATAGCAATTCTCGATTTGAGGAAGGCAGTTCTACACACATTAAAATACAGACAAGGGTAACATGTTTGTTTTCAGGGGATTTAGTGAAATTGACATGCCAAAGTTATACACCAGGTAAAGTCACCATACGACATGTTATTGTAAAATAAATTGGATCGTGACTGACCCAAATGAGCCTACAGTGCACGTTTAATTAACATACTAATGGATCTCATTCTAATACACAGCACATAAATGTGAGTTAGATTAATGCATTTAATTTTTGTGGTCCTCATTTTTAAGGTTATACCATTACAGAACTGTAAAGCACCTTCTTCATTACTACAAACAGAGATTTAGAATTCTAAGTGTGAACATATTCATTACTCATCCCAATTCATCCCCACATGCCGTTTCATTCCGTTATGGTGTGCACACAGTCATAATTACGTATCAAACAAAACTGTTAAAAAGTAATTAACCCATCAATAAGTTCATTGCAACGATGTTTAAATACATTGTAAAAAAAAAAATTCCCAAAAAAGTTTTTTTGCAGAATTGTTTGAGGGCATGTGCATGGAAATGGCTTATAACTACAAAGTAATAATGCGGTGAAAGAAATATACTGCACATTTGTTTATATCATTTTTTATAACCGGTAGCAGTAGAATTAAAATGAAAATTTCACGTCGACATTCTTTAAAAATTAAATCTCCACTTGTAGTACCACAACCATTTAGTTCAGTAGTCAGACTCGGAAGCTCCCTTAAGTCAGAATATCACTTTCCAAAGTTTCCTTTGATCTTTCATCTTAACAAATATTCTTAAAAATATAACCCCTCCATTTTTGTTGAAATTCAGCGACGCAATAAACTGTACATTAACAGTGACACAGTCTGCACGGCCATCAAATTTCAGATTTTGAGAACATGTGAATTTAACGGGGTTTTCTTAATCCAAGAGACATGACTAGGATTGCGTTTGTATAGTGTCAAATATAGCACGTTGCATGCATTAAAAATCCTATTTTGCATGTGACGAACGAATAATGAAACTTGAATTTCAAATTGCTCATAAAAAATAATGAAACTTCACCCTAATTGATAAATTGTTACGACGCCAATAAAAACTAACTGTGCAGCGATTCACATTACAAACACGGCACTCTTTTCTAAGTTCAGTAATACCTGGGAAAAGTTCATTAGGCCCAATCGTACAATAGTGATTTTAAACAAATACGCAGATCACGTTACTGAGTTGATAGGGGTAAGAATAAATTGTCGTGTAATTTTTCACAATAATGTTAATACACCATGCAAATTTTACAAGAAGACAAACCGTTGTGGAAAATAAAAAAAATCAAGTTTGACTAAAATGGTAAATTTGTATTAATCTGTGGTAAACAGCCTTAAACTGTTATTTTTATCGTAAGATAAAAGTTGTTACCCAGACTCCTCGAAACACTCAGCGTTCAATGGTTCAACGTGCGAGGGCAGTCTGTTTCGTATCCACGTGTGGGTTGGAATGGAAGCTTGTTGAAGGACCTGCTCGCTGTTCGAGTGTCAGAATGTCACGTGCTTACAGCATTGCTGCGAGTCACATTTTTTTGACGTCTTCGAGACTCTTGTGTGTATCTGCTTTTGAATGTCACGTGAGCGATTACGTAGTGACTTCTCCCTACCCATGCCTCATTTGTTCCGGTACGGCGGATATTCAAATTGGCGACCTTTCATATTATGTTGATGGATGGCAACTTTTTTTTTCATAAACCCTTTTTTTGTCTGTTCATTTTAAGTGGCATAGAATGACATTGGAGTTCAAACAAAAAACCTGGCTGTTCAGTGTATCTCTATACTGTCAGATAAGGTAACGCTGTTTATTTTAAATAGTAATTTTGATATATCTTGGTGATTAAACATGCCATTTCCCATGTACAATGAATTATATTGCTCTAGTGACCTGAAGTGTTTTGCATCTGGAAATACTTTTTTTATGTAAATACCTTTTGTGTAATGTTATATTTACTGATATGGCACATCAGCTGTGTTAACAGCTTGTCTTGCGCACCGACAAATACGGACTGCCTGCCCTGCGTAACATTACACGACCCTTTGCCATCAACAGGGCCGCAGGTGAAAATGAGATGTATCGCAGCTGAGCAATCTTGACAAAACAGATAATGAATAAATGGCACACACACACATGTACAGTGTATGTCTTGCTCTACGTTATAATCCTTCGTCAAGAATCGCAGACTTCCCTGTCGAAACCTGCTGGGGTCCATCGCTGCGTTGTCATTGTGTGGATGTTTTTTTATGACATGTTGCGTTATTGCTCATTCACCTTAAAGCTCGCAACATTTGCCATTATTAGAGCGCAGTTGTTAAGAGTCCGTTGCTCGTGTTAGCCGGCGAGCTTTGTGGCAGGATAGTAACAATTGAATGCTCACTCCACGTACGGCAGTTTTTGATTGTGTCTCTTCAAAAGGCGGCAGGGCGCGTGTGCAATCAATTCCGCGCAGCCATTTAGATGTCCCTTTTTTGCAGCTTTTGTAATCAGCTATCTTCACCCCTACACACAGACGGATGCATTGATCTCGTTTTGACATGTAACCTAACCGTGTTGTGTACTTGTCTTATGTAGACGTAGTCGGAAGTTTTTTTTTTTGTAAAAGCGTCAGCATCCATGGTATTAAACCGTTATCAAATTGAAACAGCTGTAATGTACGTTGAGCATGGTTACAGGATATCAAGAAAGAGCTGTAATTTTTTTTGTACATAAATGTGAGCCATACTGATTGATGTGATATGGACCATGTTTGAGATTTGTGCTTGCCATGAGTTAATATTTCTCTCATTTTGCATCACACTACCACCCGCATATACAACATGCGGGTACATGTTGTATACGTATGTATGTGTTTGTATATGTGTGCCAACTGTGTCACGATCGAGAGCGCAGGCAGTGCATCTGCCAGTCATCTCAGTCAGTTAACCCATGGCACCTGGGTCTGTCCCGTGAACTGTTGTCAGCGAGCCTTCAACACTTGACCCTTTGCGTGGCCTCAAAGTTCACCTAGCCTGGTACAAGCAGTGATGATGTCACCGCCACTTAGTGGTGAATGATGGCTGTTGTGTATGTGTGGAGTGCGGTAGTGAATTGGATGGCACACTGCACTGCGACCCAAGTTCAGTCCTGTTCACGGCCAACATCAGTGACGAATGTCTGAAGTGGCGGTCGGGCGTCGTTCTGGCCACATCACCTCCTTTCGTGACTCGCCTGCCTTCATTCCTTCTCTCTAACAGCACTGGCTCCAACAAGAGTCTGCGTGGGCTACACGGGGTGATCGCTGTGTGTGCGGGTGATCATCCTGGGGTTCCATTCATGGGCACGTAATCCGTGTGCTTGCATCTCACAGACTGGTGGGTATGGGTGTTGGGTAAGGGGACGGGTCCCGGGGCACATAGCGGGCGAAGTAAGGTAGGAAGGCCGCCAGGAGCACGCCAACGATGGCAAGCGTGTAGCCCCACGCGAGCTGGCAGTCGCCAGCCCAGAACGGCGCCGAGTCTCCGCACTGCTGCCGGGCAAACGGGCAGCCCAAGCCCAGCGGAAACACGAGCAGGCCAGCCCCCATGATTATCACTGGCACGAGAAACAAAGGGGGGGGGGGGGTGATGACATGGCAAAGTGAGAACATTAGGAAGGCGTGGCATTCATCGAAACACTCCTGTGTTGTGCGCACCTCTGGAAGCGCAAGCCTCTGGGGCCGATTCATGCCGAGTTTACTTTCATACTTTTTGTGGAATGCGGGCACTGGTGGGAAATTTCCCCCAAAAGAGATTGCGCCGAATTCACACGGAAGTTTTTTAGCCACATTCTAGTAAACGAGGTTATACAGGATACGAAATTAAGACAGGGAGAACTTGAAGACGGAAACAAACATTAATAGGAGCACTTGGGGAACGCAGACTGATATCGTATGGCCATGCCAGGAGAAAACCTCTCAAATGTGAAAGGTTGCAAGAGATCCGAACGGACCCTTCGCGTCTGGAGACATGGTGGCGATAGCAACATTTGGGATCGAATTGAGGAGAGAGATTCCAAATAAACCAAACATTTTCAGTTTAAAACGGGACAATTACATTTCAATTATTGCTGCGAAACAGCATGCCGGCATGTTCCGACAGAGCACGCTGCTGTGTTTTTCGAACATTTCATTTAATCACGACCACACCGTATGTGATCGCCAACATCCAAGCGAGAGACATGACAGCCCAGTGTGCTTATGTGCTGACAGTTTGTTTAATATTTTCTCCTGCTCCTGCAGGAAATATGATAATTTAAGGGATTGCTCGGAGCCTAAGTAAATATGAGGCTGAAATTATTCCCCGCATGTCGCGTTTCGTCCACTAACTCAAAGCCAACGAGGGAACATTTAGATGACGCCCATTCGGGGTACACTGTAAATCACGGCCTGAGTCGCATAAACGTGTTGTATTGATCATGTAGAACATTAAACTTGATGCCCCTGAGGCTGCCGTTTCTAAATATTTGTGTTACGTCAAAGAATTGTAACATTTAGCCCTGAGTGTTTAAGATCCTTTTAATAAGAGTTTCGAATCGGCTAGATTGGGCAATTCCTTGCTCAGTATTTCATGTTGGATGAAGTATATTGAGAAACCCCATGCATTGAGAAAGTCCAAGCGTCTTACACTAAAACATGTATGTTAGGTAGGTTAGCGACCTATTTCTTGTACCTGCAACCACCTACTTGCAGCCGTAAAGATTGTAACGCTCACTCTCGAAACCTGCGTAATCTGCCATGCCCTCCAGGGTTATAGGGTGGGGGCACCATCACGCCTGCATTTTAAAATCACATTGCTTGATGCTAATAATAAAGTCTGGTCGTAGTAATAGGCAGATTCCCAGTGATGCCAAAGAACAATCATGTTTTTTTTTTAAATAACGAAATGCAACTTAAATATTTTTTATTCCGCAGGAGTTTCACAGTCGGGGCCGATGTTGCTGCGTGGCTTTATCCCATTAGGTAACCGCTTAGTAATTCTACACTCTAGCAAATTTGTACCCTTGACGCCTGCACGCACGGCCTACGACTCTTTTCAAATCACGGCATCTTTACCGTCTACTGTGATGAAGACGGCGCTTAGTATTTTGCGGTTGATGCACACACACCCCCGCAGTATTATTAATCAGGGCTGTCCGCTCGCCTCGAACCGAGAACCTCTGCAACACGCGACAAACGCACTCCCACCTGGCCATGTGACACTGTATCACAGTTCGCCCGAGTAGCGCGTGGCGTGGAGAGATGGCTCCTAACTTCACCTGCTGGACTCTATTGAACTTCCAGTAGGCCCAGTCACTTGGCTCAGGAGCGCCAAGATTCGAGTGCCAACAAGTGGTGGGGCAGACGGCGGCTTGATTAGCCCAGCAAGGGAGCGGTAAGAGTGAACATTAAAAAAAACCCCAACTGTAAATGTCAGGTAAACAGAAGTATATCTAATGGCAACCCAATAGAGTGATTGAGAAATTACATTGGAGATTGGAGGCAATTGATAAACAATAATGTAAAATCTGGCAGTATAAAGGTTTCCAACGCCATGTAGAATGTGTAAAGTGAATGCGCAGCTCACCTGAATAGTAATGCATCGTCACTGATGCACCTTTAAACGGGACACGAAGCTGTTGCTCATTGAGACTGGATCGGGCCCATTAATAATTAACCAACTGACGTTACAGCCATTAATGTCAACTTAAAGATGCATTACATTATTAATCGGCAATATGTACTGAGACTCGCCTATGACCCAAATCACCCGCAACGTGTCCGATCTCATAACATCTCAGAAACTAAAGCGGGGGTTGAGCCTGGAATCGTACTCAGATTGGTGGCCGCCGTGCATAAGAGGTGTTATAGGTTGTAACCTTGCACTATGTCCCCCCTGCCTTCAAACAACCCGCAGAGACCAGCGTGGGGTGAAGTATGGTCAAACGATCCACGGCATGGGGAGGCCCTCATCCAGCGGTGGATTGACAAACAGGACTGTGCAAGTGCGTGTGCTGAGAACCCTGCCAAAGCGAGTCGTGGATTTAATAAGGGGGGCATCCATTTAGTACGTACGCATGGTGGGGGGGGGGTAAACCCAAATGTGTACGCTTGCGTATGGGGGGTCTACTGACAATGTACGCATAGGAAACGGGGGGGGGGGGGGGTGAAGCCTCGATAATAATTTGTCTACATTGGCCTTCAAATGAGTTAGATAGTCCGGCGGTGGACTATCTGTTTGCTTAAACACGTTAATATTATTAATCTGAGAATAGGTTTTCCCCTATTTTCTGGCAACAAAACAGGTGTTAAGATGTTAAAACACCAAACCTTTTACAAGGAATCATGTGTGCATTAACCACGATGCTTGTAATCATAATGCAGACTAAAAACACACTGATAATATATGCATTGTCTTTGAGACTGATTGGTCCACACCAGAGACAGCTTTCTTTTGAGCCTCGTCTCAAAACGGTGCTAGACCAGAGGACGCCAAAAGGCGAACACAGTACAAAGACAATGTCACTATCAGAGTAATGAGAGCTCGGGGTGAGCAGCTACATCATGGGGCCTCCTTTGCCAGTACCAAAATGATGAGATGCATATGCGTACAAACGCAGGTGGGGGGGGGGGTGTAAAAAGTACGAGTGCGTACAGGAAGAGCGGGTCAAGATTTAACATATTTTTGCGTACGTACTAAACGGATGGCCCCTAAGCGTGCAGAATTTGTGACCATCGCCATGTCTGTGGGTGCGTGCTGACCCGTGTCACTGTCAGATTTTGTAAGCGTGTAGAATGCAACGACGCAGGAGCGGCGGCGCTCAATATATAATGTCGTAAAACTAACAGAACAGCAAACACACGTGGCATTGTCTTGCGCCTCCTCGTTGGATTAAAAGTTGTTGCGTGCGATTACTTAAAATGTCACGACAGCAAATCAGTTTGTCTTTGTTTATAGACCACAGAGCTATTTGGAGCTACGCCAAGTCTCTCGTTGCAATTGCCATTTATTCTGCACTGCAAAATAAATAAAGATGCCGCCTGTGGCATAGCGGCGCAGGGCCACGAGATTGTCTCGTATGGCAGATGTCCCTCAACCCCCGCCCCCAGGTCCCCCATTCTCCCCACCGCCCCTGACTCCCGGCATGGCTTGTAGCTGGGAGTAATGCAGGGCTGCTGATAACCCACAGGTTACTGTCTGACCTAGCAGTGAACAGAGACTCTCCCCCCCCCCCCCAATCCTCCTCTGCTCGATCCCCCATCTCCCTCTCTCTCCATGTCATCCTGTCTCTCCCTCTCTCGTTCTATTTCCCCCCACGGGGACCGAAATCCATCTTTTGAGGTCCTCGTCAGAGCCAGCTCGCTTTCAAATCTCATCGTGCAGTTGTGGGCTATCACTGCCAATCCCCAAACGGATCGCAGAGATAATGACCGTGCCGTGAAACAGAAGCGGGGAATATGCTACGCCAGTGCGGTCATTAAGATGCGTCGATGATAGTAATTAACGTTACGATTGGTTTATTTTATGCCGTGTACACCGTGCGCAATAAATGACACGTTATTTCAACGGCGTGTGTGATTACAGGATGCGCACATGTTTATATGTCTCCGTATATGAATAAAACGTGTTGTAGTCCATAGGCGAAGTGGCTTTCCAGACCAATATTCATCAAGTGGGATTTGTTGAAGCGAGAAAACTCTGGGTTGGTTTTGACCATCTGTCTCTCCATCGGCAGAGTCAAGGTTTGTGAAACCAATGTTGCTGGATGCGCAGATGTCATTGGCAAGAGCACTCTACAAACTAAAATTTGAGGCCACGCTCAAAGCAAAAGCGCACAGAAGCTCGTGCGACGGCGTCATCGTGGTCCGTTTTTAAAGATTTATTCTCAAATAGCGGTCTGCGAAATGTTGAATCGCAATAATGGATAAAAGTCAGTCGCAATTTACCGCTGATCATGCGATGTTCGATGGCTTTGTCTTGTGTCCAGCGGATTTTATTTCGGCGTAATTTATGGATATGTGGAAGTGAAATTACTTGTAGCATATGCTCGAAAAGCTGTCCATTTAAAGGTCTGGCACACAGCAACGTACAGCGGGCTTCAGAGGTGGTCATTAACATTCACTTTTTGATGTCTTCATGCGCTATTAAATATTAAACTGGGCTACGAGTGAATTTCTGCTAGGCAATGACTCAGACGGCGGAGGGGAGCCTCACCACCTACAGGGGACATGCGACAACCAGGTGCCGGGACTGTGCGCCGTGTGCATAATAAACACCGCGTCATCGTCGTCGTCAGCCATGGTCAATCCACTGCTGGATGGAGGCCATCCCCAAGCTGTGGCCATCTCGCGGATGTGTCTTGGAACGACGCACCGAGCGCTTGCTCGCGAGATGATTTCATCGCTCCATCTGCACAGCAGGTGACCACCTGGGCGCATTGCCACCCTATATGGCATATACTGTATACGTACAGTTTTTTTGTTAATTCTACAGGACCCTATATGCAATATCAAGAAAAAATATCACTCAGGATGCTCAATGTATTTCCTAGTCTCAGAAGCGAAGCTGGGTTTTGCC